ATACCCATATAATTAATGGCAGAGTTAGGTTTAGAATCCACAAATCTAGTCATAGTACTAAATTCTTGCTGTTCCCTCTGATGCTTCCTAATTAGCTGGCATTCTCACATCAATAGAGCATAAGTGGGACTCCATTTGTTACTTGTTGTTCTTCCTGAGGAAAAGGACAGATTTAAGCTGACCCTTTATCCACACAGGAGCTATGCAGGGCAGCAGGGTTACTGTCTCTAACATTTTGAAAGGAAGCAAGGATGGAGCATGTAGGATCTTGGGCTAGAATCTCATGAGAAGCTAACCAAGGGAGCCAAGCAGGCAACAGCAGCAAGAGTTAGAGTTTCTTTCCAATGGCCAAATGACATCTAAATAGTGATAATTTGGCTCAGGACATGTTTCCATGCCATAGAAACTGCAACAATAGGTTCAATCTCACTATAGACTAGTGAGTTGTGCTCCATCCATGACCAATGACTGTATTCCAGAGCAATGTACATAAAAGGTGCTGAATTAAATATTTATTATTCAGCAAGAATAGTAGGAAAAAAAAACACACAAAAAAACCCCAACAGCGAATATCCACACCACTATGCCAGCGTAGAAGAGGCAGTACAATATGGTCTATCTAGCTTTTATCTCACTCTAAATATAGGATTTAATTGTAATCACACACACACACACACACACACACACACACACACACACACACACCAGTCATTAGCTCTGCAGATGGAGGAACTATATCTTACTTAAGTGTGTATTCGTATAATGCCCAACACGGAGCCAGATAGATTTCAGGTGTTGATGTTTTCTGAATTGAATTATATTTGTGTGAAGACTGCATTTGCAAGCCTGGCGTGGGAGTTAGGAAGATGTTGTCTAGTAACTCACCATTCCTTTCCCTGAAGGCTCTGTAAATCAAGCTTTTAAAAAAAGCAGCAAGCAAAATTCCAAAACCCTCTCTGAGGAGAAATGCCCATGGCTGGTGGGGTCTGGACTATGTCCACTGAATGTGCAGATCTCTTCTGCACAAACATCGCCTGCTCCCAGGGGAGCCCGTGACTGGCTGGCTGGCTGTGGAGACTCAGGCGTTCCCTCTTTCCCAATGGCAGGGGGGTCAGGGGAAACGGGTGGGAGTTGAGTGATGAAGCATGGCTGAACTAAATGTTCTCCTCTTCCCAGGCAAAATAAAGTCTCACAACAGGGGGAGGGCTGCCACTTTTCTAGAGGAACAACCCTGAGGAGCAGGAGTTGTAGGTGAAAATTGTCTTTTCTGAGCAAAAGTTTTTCTTTTTTCCTTTTAAGACTTTTTCTTAAAAACGTTTTAGGCTCACAAGAAAATTGAGCTGAAGGTACAGAGATGTCCCACATAACCCTGTCCCCACAGGTGCACATTCTCCTCCATATCAACATTCCCCACCTGAATGGTATATTTATTATGTTTGATGGACCAGCATGGCCAAATCACTAACACTGAAAATCCCTGGTTTCCAGTAGGGTTCACCCATAGTGTGCATTCCAGAGGTTTGGATAAATGTATAAAAATATGTATCCACCGAGATACTATCATTAGTGTAGTTTCACTGCCTTAAAACTCCTCTGTGCTCTGCCCTCCCTCCCCATTAACTCCTGGCTACCACTCATCATTTTTGTTTCTCTTTTAAAGGGCTGTCCTCACATCCTCTCTTACCTTGGATTGGTGCTATTGGAAGGGCTACGCCAGAGCTGTGCTGAACTATCACAAACTGGGATCAGACTTGACTAGGGAGGGGCAGTAGGGATATGGCTTGAGGAGCCATAAGGCTAAGATGGTCATTTTTTTTTTCTGAATTTACCCAAGAGCTCTAACAAAAACAAAAACAAAAACAAGACTTTTTTTGTTAATAAGATCCTTTCCTGAAATGTACTGAGCTGGGTTTAAAGAACCAGAATAGAAATTAACTTATTTTTCTGGGAGACAACCAAAACACAACTCACTAATTCCTTAAGCTCTCTTTAAGATTTAATCACAATACAAAATCCACAAGTTTATATTGGCAGTATGCGTTATCAACTGCGCAACTTTCTGAAGCGGCAACCAATAGGGTTCCCAGCTTTGTGTTCATTACACATTTTAGGGGACTGATGGCTCTGTCTGTCAGATTGGTGCCCAGGGCCTAGCCTTCTAAATTCTGTCCAGGCGAGACTTAGGACACACTCCCAGCTGCCAACTTCTCTACTTATAAGGTACAGAATTTATTATAACAAAGAAAGAAAGAAAGAAAGAAAGAAAGAAAAGAAAGCCTGCTACCTTTTAAGAGTGCTTTTTATATGTGGTTTCTCTATTAGAGCTCAGTGTTTCCAGAAATACAGCTGCTCAGTTCATTTGAGACTCTGTGCTGAATCCATGGAACCTGTTTTAGTTTCCTATGGTCTTCTATGAGCTCTGCTGCCATCATGTATCACTGGAGGTCTTTTGTGCCAGGCTTTTAAAGGAAGTCACTGGCAATAACTCTTATGGGAGAACAAAGTCATGGGAACTTGCATCTTTAATGTATATATGGCAGTGTAAAAGTAGATGGAGGGTTGATTAGGAATCCAGGATTGTCCAACTCTGGAAATGAAGCTTGTCTAGTCATCCAAAGACCTTTTCTAGACTGTTTCTTCTTTTCAATTTCCCAATAGGCCTGTTTTTATCTTCTTATTTAATTCAAAGGCAAAATTCTCTCTAGGCCCCTGCAAAGACACCTAAGAGAATGCTGCAAGAAACAGTATGGCTCAGTGAAAAGAAAAGGAAATTTAAAGCTGGAAAATCCTGAGATTTCCAGCTCTGGCTACTTGTTTGGCCTGGTATATTCACTTAATAACCTCCTAGGACCTTAGTTTCTCTTCAGAAAAGTAAATTTGAAAGTTATATTTAACTTACCAGGCTTTCTTCAGAGCAGTTTTGGAAAACTGCAATTATCTTTTTCATATGTTTATGTATTTTCCACTTCTCAGTACACAGCATTAAATTATAAGCTCCAAGAGTTCAGGGACTTTGTCTTTTTGGTTTACCACAGTGACTGATTGCCAGGAATAGCGATCAGTACATAGTATATGATCAAGAAGAGAGAATGAAATTAGAATGAAGGAAGGAAAGAATAGAAAGGAAAAAGGAAAGATAGATTGAAAGGGGTGACAGAATTTTAGAACGTTGTTGATCCACAATTTATAAAAGTGATCTGTAAATATTTTTAAATGTAAATGTTTTTAAAATACATTATTAAAGTAACTAATATTTGATGCATTAATTATGCTAGGTTGTAAAAATGTAAGTTGGATCTTGTTACTTCCATAATTAAAGCCCTCCAATGGCTTTCTTTACTACTTATAATTGAAGCCAAACTGCCCTGCATAATCTGACCCTTACCTACCTACTTCTTTCCAGTCAGTCTTCCCCTTCCCTGCCAGGCCCCAGTCACTCTGGTGTTTGTCTTTCTGCAAACATGCCAACTTTGTTCTTGCCCTGGAGCCTTGTGTTAGAGTCTTGCTCTGCCTGGAAGGTTCTTCTGTGAAACCTGCAAAGCAGGCTTCTTACTGTACTTGGGCCCTTCCTGCGCATGTACTCTAGAGGAGCCTCCACAGGACTTTATTATAATTTATTTATTCATTTATCCATTACTAGTGCCCCAGCTCCTGATGTTCAATAGATATTTATTTCAAATAGAACATGTGGTCTTATATGTGTTTAATGCTTACATTTCATAGACACTTTTCTAATTATTTTGTTTTACTTCTGCAAACATATGAGCTAAAAGAAAACAGAACAGACCCCTATGGTTCCAAACTGAAAATTTCCTCTCCATCCTTTCCCATTCCAACTCCTCACACATATTTTGGAAGAGGTATCCCTGTTCTGTGAATAAAAGGAACTGTACCAGTTAGTTTTAGTATTTGTGATTTATCTGAAGTCTTGGAGTCATGTGCATCCAGTGACACAATAATTTCTGAGTATTCTAACCCAGAATGATTCTTTGGAGACATGGAAATGGTGCTGTTGGGTGCCAGTTTGTTCCCTGTTCTTGATCTGGAGACCTCCTGGCTAGAACCAGGGAGGCAAATGGCAGGATCACTTCCAGTTTGGGTTTGTTTCCTGTGGATGCTAGGGCAACAGTAATGTGGTAGGAAGAACACTGGACCAGGCACAGGTACAGGGTCTAGGGCTGCTCTATATTCTTTTTCCTCCTCACCCCTGCTTATCAGTCCCTGATAAGGCAGAACTTGATCATCTTGAAGGGGAGACCCCGCTTGGAAATTCTTTGAGTTGATGAGAGGAGTCTGACATTTCATCATAACCATGACATCTGTGTAAAAGAATAACCTACGAAATATTTATGAAAAGCAGCTTTTGTAGGATTTCTCTGACTGGTCAATGAGTTCGCCAGACAAATCCAGAACTCTGCTTTTGCCATTTCACTTTATTCTTCTATTTACTTTCCTAGAGAAGATGGTGCTCTAGAGATTGATATCTAACTGTAAGCGTACTTCATCCATTCCCTAAGAGATGGGCTCCTACTGTATCTAATCTTGGCTAACACTCCCCCATCTGCTTTCAACATGTTGCATCTGACATTAACTAATGTCTCATATTAGCATTAAAAGAAAACAATCTGGAAAAATTCACTCTCAAGCAGAGTTCAAACAGGCCACAAGTAGACGTGGAATCTCAACTGCACTAGGTTTGTTAAAATAATGTAATCAATACATAAATATTTAATAAATGTTAATAAATATAATGTAAATATATATGTAGATATGCATCCATGCATATGTATGTGTATGCGTGAGTCTCTATATAGAGGTAGAGGTGTGTGTGTGTGTGTGTGTGGTGAAGCCCAAAGTCTATGAAATAGGTCAGGGGAACAGAGACAAGAATGTTTCTGTCTGATTTATGAAATTAACTGGCAACAGCAAAAGGAGAAATATTCTCTACAAAGAACTGAACGATATGGAAAAGAAAGTGGGAATCTTTATGCCACACTTACTGGTAGTGGGTTAAAATTCTGGTCCACCAGATGATTGTATCCATGATCAAAAAATGAGTGTCGTATCACAACATCAATGCCCTGATTGGCCAGCATTCCTAAAGTGTTGAGCCATCTATAAGGTAGAGGGAAAAAAGCTACATCAGTACATTTCTAAAATGGCATGCAACAGATCTATACAGATTAACTATGACACACATATACACTAACATTCCTTCATCAAATTTACCTAGTAGTATAAAGGAGAAAAATATTCTATGCATTGAATACACAGCTGTAAGAGATTTCAAAGATGACCAAATTTAATCTCTTTATTTTATAAGAAAAGAAACTGAGGCCCTGGGAAGTAAGATGAATCCCCCTTGGTCATAAAGTCACTGTTGATAATGACTTTTATTCCTAGAATACTAAAAACTGAACAACCTAGCCACCTGTGAACCTGATGTCATCTTCCATGGCCACAGGCTATTGCAGTCACAGGAGAACATCCTCAAACTCCCCTGCTTGCATCTGTCACTGTACATGTACCTTTCATGGGACTCTATCCTATATAGACCTGTGACCTACACAACAGTTGTCCAGCCATTTTCATCTTTCATATATCCCCACCAATAGCCAATTCAATAACATTTTATTTGGCACTATAATCAACTATTGAGGGATTCAAGTATACTACTATTCCACATGTGTTATAATGGAAGACCTGCGTTGCTCACACACTTATCTTATACCTTTCCTAGAGGGGCTGTCATCCTTCAAAAATACTGCCCTCTTGATTCCTCCAACAGTCACCAGTGACTTTGCATTTATTTATATATTCAATTCATTCATCCTCTCATGCATTCATTTTTCCTTTCTCACTCTGCATTCTTCTGAAACTCAGGGAAACATTTAACTGTAACAACAAAGTGCATATGTAATAAATGTGACTTCAAACTTCAATCTTCAGATGAAAGATGAGGCATTTCACAGGCTGTCCCGAGCACATGTGTGTCTGGCTTCACCTCCCCTCTTCTCTCACCCTAAACCCTATTCCTTAAGGCTCTAAACCACATAAAACTACTCTTGATTACCCAAAATGCACCACGATTTCTTGTACTTACCCAAGTCCTTATATGTGTGTTTGCTTCTGCTTAGAATTCTCTTCCTGTCCTCCTCCAACCCATGTCTTTTCATTTGGCAAATTTCTTCCCATTTATTAATCTCCAAATCTGGTTCTTCTTCTAAACCCTGCTGCCCCAAAATAGCACCTTCCTCTAGACTTCTCCAGAACTCTTACTTCTGCCATGCCCTCTGCTAACCCACTGGATCATCACTACTTATCACCTCTTCCCCCACCAGTTGTGAGCTTATCAAGCATAGACACAATACTTAAACTTATACCCCAAACACCCATCACAGTTCCTGGAACACTGTAAGTGCTCAGTACTCTTTAGGTTGAATTTTTTTTTCTTTCTTTCTTTTTTAAATCTGGATAAAATTAGATTCTAGGAACCTTAAGAATGACCATCCATCACATGGGGGAAATTACACAGTTATAATTTCCCAAATCTGAAACCCTATGGAGCCCCAAACCCATGACTTGTATAAGAATTAAAATTTTTCCTTGCTGAAATAAAAAGTGCTGCTAATTTTTATATTCTAAATATTATGCACACTTTATAGTCTTTTTCACATTTTTAATTTTATTTATTCTCACAAAATCTAACACATATTTACTGATAGAATTACAAAAACAAAATAAAAAGTAAAGCAAAGCAAAACACAAAAACAAAAATTTTAAATCAAAAGGAAAATCTGACTATAATACAACAGAACCCTCTTTGTGTTTATTTTTGTTCAAATTGGGACATTGTGACCCAGACACCTGAAATTACTTTTTTTTTATTTAGCATTTTTTAATTGGTTGTTCAAAACATTACAAAGCTCTTGACATATCATATTTCATACATTAGATTCAAGTGGGTTATGAACTCCCATTTTTACTCCAATTACAGATTGCAGAATCACATCGGTTACACATCCACATTTTTACATGATGCCATATTAGTGACTGCTGTATTCTGCTATCTTTCCTATCCTCTATTATCCCCCCTCCCTTCCCCTCCCATCTTCTCTCTCTACCCCATCTACTACAATTCATTTCTCTCCTTGTTCCCCCCCCCAATTCTCCTCACAACCTCTTATATGTAATTTTGTATAACAATGAGGGTCTCCTTCCATTTCCATGCAATTTCCCTTTTCTCTCCCTTTCCCTCCCACCTCATGTCTCTGTTTAATGTTAGTCTTTTCCTCCTGCTCTTCCTCCCTGCTCTGTTCTTAGTTGCTCTCTTTATATCAAAGAAGACATTTGGCATTTGTTTTTTAGGGATTGGCTAGCTTCACTTAGCATAATCTGCTCTAACGCCATCCATTTCCCTGCAAATTCCATGATTTGTCATTTTTTAGTGCTGCGTAATACACCATTGTGTATAAATGCCATTTTTTTTTATACATTCATCTATTGAAGGGCATCTAGGTTGGTTCCACAGTCTAGCTATTGTGAATTGTGCTGCTATGAACATCGATATGGCAGTATCCCTGTAGTGCGCTCTTTTAAGGTCTTCAGGGAATAGTCCGAGAAGGGCAATAGCTGGGTCAAATGGTAGTTCCATTCCCAGCTTTCCCAGGAATCTCCATACAGCTTTCCAAATTGGCCGCACCAATTTGCAGTCCCACCAGCAATGTATAAGAGTACCCTTTTCCCCACATCCTCGCCAGCACTTGTTGTTGTTTGACTTCATAATGGCTGCCAATCTTACTGGAGTGAGATGATATCTTAGAGTGGTTTTGATTTGCATTTCTCTGACAGCTAGAAATGGTGAGCATTTTTTCATGTACTTGTTGATTGATTGTATGTCCTCCTCTGAGAAGTGTCTGTTCAGGTCTTTGGCCCATTTGTTGATTGGGTTATTTGTTTTCTTACTGTTTAATTTTTTGAGTTCTTTATATACTCTGGATATTAGGGCTCTATCTGAAGTGTGAGGAGTAAAAATTTGTTCCCAGGATGTAGGCTCCCTATTTACCTCTCTTATTGTTTCTCTTGCTGAGAAAAACTTTTTAGTTTGAGTAAGTCCCATTTGTTGATTCTAGTTATTAACTCTTGTGCTATGGGTGTCCTATTAAGGAATTTGGAGCCCGACCCAACAATATGTAGATTGGAGCCAACTTTTTCTTCTATCAGACGGCGCGTCTCTGATTTGATATCAAGCTCTTTGATCCATTTTGAGTTAACTTTTGTGCATGGCGAGAGAAAGGGATTCAGTTTCATTTTGTTGCATATGGATTTCCAGTTTTCCCAGCACCATTTGTTGAAGATGCTATCCTTTCTCCATTGCATGCTTTTTGCCCCTTTATCAAATATAAGATAGTTGTAATTTTGTGGATTGGTTTCTGTGTCCTCTATTCTGTACCATTGGTCCACCCGCCTGTTTTGGTACCAGTACCATGCTGTTTTTGTTACTATTGCTCTGTAGTATAGTTTGAAATCTGGTATCACTATACCACCTGACTCACACTTCCTGCTTAGAATTGCTTTTGCTATTCTGGGTCTTTTGTTTTTCCATATGAATTTCATAATTGCTTTATCTATTTCTACAAGAAATGCCCTTGGGATTTTGATTGGCATTGCATTGAACCTATAGAGAACTTTGGGTAATATTGCCATTTTGATGATGTTAGTTCTTCCTATCCATGAACAGGGTATATTTTTCCATCTTCTAAGGTCTTCTTCTATTTCTCTCTTTAAGGTTCTGTAGTTTTCATTGTATAAATCTTTCACCTCTTTTGTTAGGTTGATTCCCAAGTATTTTATTTTTTTTTTGAGGATATTGTGAATGGAGTGGTTGTCCTTATTTCCATTTCAGAAGATTTGTTGCTGATATACAGGAATGCCTTTGATTTATGTGTGTTGATTTTATATCCTGCCACTTTGCTGAATTCATTTATTAACTCTAGTAGTTTCTTTGTAGACCCTTTTGGGTCTGTTAGATATATTATCATATCATCCGCAAATAGTGATTTGAAATTACTTTTGGAATGTCACGTGGCTAAGTCACTTGCCTTATTATCATCCTGTGAAATCAGGATAACAAGTCGAACTTTTCCCTTGGCATAGAGGGATGGCAGTTAGTTAACTTGTCAAACATGTCCTGTGGTAGAGTTATAGTGGAATTTTGAGTAAGTGCCTCTTAACTAGTGCTCTTTCCATGTTGGAACAGCACACATGTAATGGGGTCTCTATGGAGCAAGTAGTTATCTATAAGAAGAAGTATGTCTCTCTAGCCTTTCTAGCCTTATGCTTGTTGGATGAAAGAAGAAACAAAACAACGAGTATACAGGTAATCACAGATGTGAGAGCCCCTCCATCCAGCAGCGTCTATGTATCATACAGGGTTGTATCTTGGTGATTTTATTTGTGAAAAGATCCCATTTATTCCCTTATTCACTGTTCATTCAATAGTGTTAATTAATGAACTATAAACCCTGGGAATTATTTTCAACATTGAGGATACCTACTTATGCTTGTGTGATCATGTGTATCATTGGTAAAGCACTGGGTGTGTAAATACCCGTGCATACACATTTACAGGAACAGTATCACATTCTTATTTGTGACCTCTTCAGAGTCTAACACAGGACTTGCACAGAATAGGTACTAAGCAAATAACTATCAATAACTAAACCTAATGTTTTGCTAGTGTATGGGTAGTTCTTGAAGAAAATGATTATGCTCAAGACCACTGCTGCCTTATGGCTTTCACAGTAGAATGGTGTACTGAAGTTATCTTCATCTTTCTGAAGATGATAATAATAATGTAATGATAAGCCCCAGGAGAGGGGCTTTTTGTTAGTCTTCCTTCTATGCTCAGGTAGAGAAACATGGTAAAATGACTGCATATCCCAACAAGGATGCTGTCCCAGCCATTATTTTCCATTCCACAAATGTTTATTGACTATCTATTATGTGCCAGACAACACTAGGTGCTGGAGACACAGTACCATGCCAAAGATATATCTGCCATATGCCACAGAATCTCAAATCCCTGACTGGAAATGCTACCTTTGAATACTTGTTAGCAGAAAATTCTGATTCATGCATGCATTTGTATGTGTCCTAGTGAACTCATAGTTATGTTAAATACTGAGAAAATACCATCTATTCAATTTCTTGCTAGTTCCTTGGAGCTCCCCTCCCTAGAATCCTTTCCTTTTTTTCTCTTTCTCCAATTTATGCCACTTGGAGAACTAGATTCAAATGATATATTGCTGGGTGCAGAAAGAGCTGAGACCAAAAAGGTAACAAAGAGATAGGAGAGAAGACTAGGAGCAGAATGGACTAGTTTAATCTGATCTGCATCAATCAAGCATTTATTATCTGAAAGGTAACTCAAATCTAAACAACAATGTTTATCTATGTGCTGTGCAGTGAATACAGAAACATCATACCTTATGGGTATTTGGCTGATGCTCATGTAAAGATAGCTCTTTACACCTCCATAAAGGTTTGTTGTAGTTCTCATTTCACAGCATTCCTTAAAGGGAAGAATGCTCATACAAACCCTCAGCACAACTGGGCTGCTTGATGGACCCCAAAGCAGAGTCATTTGGTGATGGCTGAACAATGGCCCTACCTTTGCTCACTCCAAGAAGTACCCTGCACCAATGACTGCCAACCTGGTGCTCACTTGCAACATGGCTCCTATCAAACCAGTGTTGATAGGAAAGAAAACTCTCAGCAAGTCTGTATTAAATGCAGATTCACTCCATTTTATTCACTTGAACATACTTCTGGATAACTTTATGCCACACAATGCTAGATGCTAAGGATACAGAGATGAAAGACCCCAGGTATCACCATGAATCATACTGACTTATTATTCTCATCTACATTAGACAGGATTCCATCTATAAAGGCAATCCTGTTGGCTGGCCTGATTGTCCCTCATGGACATATTAAAGAAGCTAGCTCAATAGAGGAGAACTGCATTGGACAATTATGAATAGCTGTTAGTAGTAAAACACATAACTGAGGGCAAAACTCCAATTCTTAGGAGAACACTATTCATTCAGAAAGCCAGGGCCACTCTCTACCTACAGAAATTGGAGTAATCTTATGTCCCACTCAAATGCCACTTCCTGCATGAAACCCTTCCTGAAACTCCCAGTCAGAGAAATTCTCTATTTCTTTACAGGCCTGTCACTTTCTTAGAAAGACCATGTGACACAAAAAGAGAGTGGCGAAGAGGCTGAACTCTGGAGCAGACCACCTGGATTTAAGTCTGAGCTCTGCTGTTAAAGCGAGTGACCTTGGTTGGGTGTTACTTCAACTGTCACTCAATTTCTTCATCTGTAATTTAAGGATAATAATAGTTCCTATTTTACTGTCTCATTATGGAAACCATAACATCAATTTCACTGGTTGCTAAATTATTAAATGTATATAAAATACTTCATAAAGTGCTTGGCACATGGTAAATTAAAGCTACTATTATTGTTGCACTTATCTCTGATAACTTTATGATATAGTTATCTCTAATCCTAGTACATCCAATCATATGCTTCTGAAGGGCAAAAACCACGACTTCTATTAACTATCTCCCAGAATTATGGTAAAAATTGGATGAGAAAATGTACACTGCCTGTTCTGTGGTTAGAACTGTAAACTTATAGCCAGGAATGGTGGGCCATGCCTGTAATCCCAGCAGCTTGGGGGGCAGAGACAGGTGGATCCTGAGTTCAAAGCCAGCCTCAGTAAAAGCGAGGGGCTAAGCAACTCAGTGAGACCCTGTCTAAATAAAATACAAAATAGGGCTGGGGATGTGGCTCATTGAATGCCTCTGAGTTAATCCCCGGTACCTCCCCACAAAACCTGTAAACTTATTAATAAAGTTCTTCTCATTATTATGTTACTGTTACTCCTCCTCCTGCTTCTCTCATTCTTGCTCTGACACCTTAGTCTGACATTTTAGTATTTAGATAAGGCACTAAAACTGTTAAATGGTTAAAAGTATTAACAGATGAACAGATGAAGAACTTTCAATGGGAAGCAAGCTTTACCCAGCAATGGGCAGAATAACAAGCATGTTACAGCATCACTGTCCTTCTTTCCTGAAAGTCCCTGGGAATGCAATTGTGTTACTTACAAGAATCCTGCGGCATAGGAGTCTGATAGATTGTTTGTGCCTCCAGCTGAGGTAGTCACCACACCTTCAAGCCAAATCTTCTTTCCTGGAGTGTATGTATTAACCACCTGGTCAAACAACAAAGCAGAAGGGGATAATCAGTTTTTAAAATCTATTCCCAGATGAGAAGCAACACACATTCCCTAAAGGAAGTTTCTCTGATTCCCTGCTCCCAGGTACTTTTTTCCCTGATGACGCACACACACAATTGTTGGCATACAACACACCAAAGCATTAACATTGACACATGTCCCCTCAAAGAAATTATTGTTTTTCCTCAGGAAGACCTAAGTAACAATGTGATAGAACAAATGCATATTCTAGGATGTGAGGTGACTTTAGGGATGAAAACACTGTTCATTGTCAGTACAGGTCCCAAAACAGAAATCATATTATGTTTCCATATTAACAAGTATTGAGAAGCAAAGTTTTCAGTATTCTGTTATGCACTATCCACATGTTAGAATTCATTAATCATGAGAGAGTAGAGGATGATGTTTTAGAGAATTATTTTGTAATAGTAATGGCTTGGATATTGTAGCCACAGTTTGAAAATAACTGTAGTAAGTGTAAAAAGAAAAGTCACTGACCCACAGGTCAGATCCTACTCAGGGAGCAACCACAGCTGCATGCCTTCCCAGCAGAGGCAAAGCCTCTTGTCAAAATGTTGCCCTCTAAAATTTTAAAGTGGCTCAATCTCTGATCTACAAGTTTGAGATGGAAGTAAGGATTGCAACTGGTAGAAATATCCTGAGGATGAACAGTGGAGGTTGATTTGAAATATTGTTAAAATTCACCCTTGGGCCTGGGTTTGAAGCTCCGTGGTAAAGCATATGCTTAGTATGTGTAAAGCCATGAGTTCAATCCCCAAACCTGCAGGAGGAAAACCCCTTCACACAGAAAAATAAGAGTCATTTGAGGATGCCACAAGGCAGTCTTCTCACCCTTTTCATCACTGCTCAGAGTGCCCCACCCAGGGGAAGCTGGAAATCATAATGATGGAAAAGTAAGAAAAATACCTTAAATGATCACAAGGTAAAATTAAAGGACTATATCTGTGAGTTCCCTTAAAATGCAGTGCTAGGAATGCATCTGTGCATATGATAAACTTCATGCTTCCTTTATAATTAACTATAACTGAGTGATAGATTTGTTTTTAACTTTTTGCCTTTGGCTTCCAGGATATTCACAGTTTAGTTTTGTGTTCAAAGACAGATATTAAAGTGAGATAGTTGGAGAAAGAGGATTTTGTCGAACTAAACAAAACTGTAAACACTACAACATGATTAAACCTTGAAAAAACTAAGCTGAGTGAAGGATGTGAGGCATAAAAGGCAAAACACTATCTGATTCCATTTATATAAAATATCTAGAACAGGCAAATCCAGAGAGAGAGAAAGTAGATTAGTGGTTTTTTAGTGTTTTAGTCAGCTTTTTTGCTGTCGTAACTAAAGAACAACTGTAAAGGAGGAAAGGTTTATTTGAGGGCTCACAGTTTCAAAGGTTTTAGTCTATAGAAGGCTGGCTCCATTCCTTGAGGCTCGAGGTGAGGCAGAATATCATGGTGGAAAAGTGTGGCAGAGGGAAGCAACTCACAAGTTGATCAGAAAGCAGAGAGAGAAAGAGATTCCACTCTCCAAATACAAAATATATACCATAGCCATGCACCCATTGAGCCACTTCCTTCAGCCACCTCTGCCTGCCTCCAGTTACCTCTCAGTTAATCCTAGCAGGGATTAGTCACTGATTAGGTTAAGGCTATAGCCCAATCATTTCTCCTCCAAACCTTCTTGCATTATCTCACATGTGAGCTTTTGGGGGACACCACATCTAAATAATAACAGGATTGAAGAGGAGGGAGTTTGGGGGTATGTGGGCATAGGGAGTGACTACTAATGAGTGTGAGGTTTCTTTTGGGATTGGAATTGAGCATGTTTTAAAATTAGTTGGTAATGATATCAAAATTCTATGAATATAGTAAAATCCACTAAATTTCATACTTTGAAAGGGTGAATGTTATGTGTATTGTATCTAATATATATATATATATATATATATATATATATATATATATATATATATATATATATATATGAACACTCTAGCAAAAAGAGAGGTAGAGTCTAGGAGGGCAGTGAACCATCATATGGAAAAATACATATGCTGGAAATTTTGGGTTCCAACAGATGCTAATTTGGAGACTTTTGGAAGTCTTTATCTTGGACTTCAATTTCTTCATCAACATTTAAATAAGTGGATTTGGAATAGATGAACTGTAAGTCCATTCTAAATATAAAATGTTAAAATATATTAGTTTCTATGATATGAATATAAGTCCCTTTGGCTCCCAAAGATTAAGAGAAACTTTGATTATGGAAGTTAAAATCAAATAACAATAAAAGGAAAAAAAAAAGTCAAATATAAGTGAAAACTGGTCACCTCTGAATCAAAGATCTAGATCAGAGGAAGGTCCACAGAATGGTAGAAAAAGCTGGAGGAGAATATGAAATTGTCTAGAGAGAACATATAAAAATGAGGCTAGGAAAGGAATCAGGATTTCTATCCAACTATATTAAGGTGTTACCAAATGCACTAATTTATTTATTCAACAAATATTGATTAAGCACCTGCTCAATGCCAAGCAGGTATACAGCAATGAAAATAGGTCTCTGCTCTCACTGGCTTACACTGTGGTCAATGGGACTTGGTGGTGGTGGTGAGGTACAATTCTTTAAACAGTGGTCAGGGAAAGCACCCTGAGGTGATCTCTGAGCTGAGACCTGAGTGAAGAAGTAGCCAGTCCCTTAATGGATCTGGGCTTAATCCCAGTTGCCTCATCCTCCTCAAATTATTAGTGGGGAGATAGCACTGTTGTAGTTAGGGGAATAGTCTTTGGAGACAGATCACCTGCATTTGAACCCTGGTTCTACTGTCCATTCATTGTGTGCCTTTGAGTATAGCACAGTACCTACTCTGCATTTCTGTTTCCTTGGCTGTAAAATTAGAATAATAAGACTACCTGCCTCAGAGGATTTTATGTTATTTAAACTACTTAATATTTGCAAAGCACTTGAAATAGTGTCTGATATATAGTAAGCACTTAGAAATATAAACCAAAATGTTATCTAGATCACTCTCCTTGTCCAAGGTACATGTAACTGTGTCTGCATGAATCTAACATCAGCTATGGTTATTTTCCTTCACACACCATACGGGATGATGGGGAATGTCCCAGATGTATGCTAAGCTGCAGAAAAGGCCACTTTAGAATATAAAATGCATATAGCTAATTCACATCAACATAATTAACATTCAGAGTAGTTCACTTATCTACTCTCAATACAGACAACTCCTGTCAAGCCACACAAATAAAAATCACAGTGAGGTAGAACTTTGATACAAAACCTACATCAGTTATATGAAATATCTTGTGGGTAAAACAGTCCTAGAAAGCATTAATGTGACTGGTTCTAGGAGCAGTCAATGCAAATCAAAAACTATTTTCAGAGTATTTTCTGTTTGGGACATAGTGGGAGGCTTGATGAGCTGTGTCTTCCATGAGCAGAGAAGACCAGCATGGTGACGTGTGGTGGAGCTACAGAGACTGAAGTTGCGTGCTGGTTGGGCCTGGGGATGAAATCTGTATGGGCAGAAGAAGAGAGAACAAATTAGGAAAAACAGATGGAACCAGCTGCAAAATTCCCTTAGAAAGTGAAACTGTAAGAAACCAAAGGCCATAATTCACCACTGTGGTTTTCTGAGAGAATATGATTCTCCCTACGTTGGAAGAGAGAAAATTAGAGGACTTTGGAAAGAAAAAGCGTTCCTGGTGAGAAATGATGTGCCAGTGAAGATTATTTTAAGGTATACATTGTCTGGGGAGATGATTTAAGTGAGGGTGGAGGGAAGTGGGGCTTTTAGTTCCTTTTCAGTTCTTTTGTTGCTAAATACTTCAGTCCTTGGCCCCATGTGGTAAAAGGAGCTTTGAGGCACCCACAGAACTGTTCAGTAAATGGCCAATGGCTGCTCAGAACCCCTGGGCCTGGTTGAGGTAGAATGACATAAAGACAATCTCTTCCAGCTCCCTTCCCTCAGATTTTAGGGTCAGGGACTGTCAAAACTGTTTCATGTGGATACACTGAGGGAGGAGGGTAAAAGAAGAAAAAGAGAGCACTTAGGCAAAACATCCTTGATTTTTCAAAAAAAAAGTTTAATTTTCCCTATGACTTCAAATTTTAAAAAGGGAAAGAAAAACAGGAAAAATAGGAAAATAACCATTAATGTGACACCTTTTCAAAACTGGGTTTCCTTTTCCTGCATTTTCTTGATATCCTGCCTCCAATACTGTGACCTAAGTTTTTTAAAAGACTCCTGAGAGCCTGGCTCCAGCCACTGGCTGTGTGAGAGATGGTAGCACTGTAACAGCAGGCATGTTGTTTATGGTTATCCACACCAACACCTTCCTTAATGAGAAAGGAAGCAATAAAACAGAAGTAGTGGACAGGCCAGCTGGGCTAATCAGCCCTGGCAGGAGGCCCATCCTCCAAAAGAAGCTGGAGTCCATTAATTCCAGCATCTCATCCACTTGGAAATCGACCTTCCTCAGGACCTCAGAAGAGCAACAGCTCTTTACATAACCAGAGTGGTCCTTGATGTAGCTGGTTACAAAGAGCTGGATAGCTTCAGGAAGCTTCTTAAACCTTACCCACACAGCTGTTTCTTGCCTCTGGCAGTCTTGTTCCCTTATCATATTTAAAAACGGTCTGGGAAAAAATTTATTACTGTTTCTATGTTGTTTCTTTCCAGCCTTCTTGTGTAGGTTTTGACTCTGTGCTTACCTACAATCTTAGACCAGGAGGGGCTCATATTCATCTGTCCTTTCCTTCCTCACTGCTCCTTCCTGTGATTTGCAGCTTATCATTTATTCCTTGGTCTTCCTGCCTGTACTCTTTCTCCTCCAGCCTTTCTTCCGTACTGATGCCATTAAGCTAACAGAAATCCCTCCCCAGTTTAAGAACAGTAACAGTACTCAGTTCTTTCTGCCCACTGAAAGATCTGGTTGATCAAT